GACTATAGCCCATGGTTTTCACCGATTTGGCCCATTTTTCACACCTTTTTGTAGATGATGCATTATTTTTGACGAATTTAAAATAGGTCATTTTTGTTCATTTTGGGGCTAAAAGCATGGACTATAGCTCATGGTTTTCACCAATTCGGACCATTTTTCACACCTTTTTGTAGATGATGCATTATTTATAAAGAATGCAAAATAGGTCATTTATGTTTATTTTGGGGCCAAAAGCATGGACTATAGTCCATGCTTTTCAACTATTTGATATTTTTTTAAAACCTTTTTGTAGATGATGCATTATTTATGACGAATTTAAAATAGGTGATTTTTGTTCATTTTGTGGCCAAAAGCATGGACTATGGCCCATGCTTTTCACCAATTTGTGCCATTTTTCACACCTTTTTGAAGATGATGCATTATTTATGAAGAATGCAAAATAGATCATTTTTGTTCATTTTGGGGCCAAAATTATGGACTACAGCTCTGTGGTTTTCACCGATTTGGGCCATTTTTCACACCTTTTTGTAGATGATGCATTATTGATGAAGAAGGTAAAACAGGTCATTTTTATTCATTTTGAGGTCAAAAGCATGGACTATAGCCCATGGTTTTCACCGATTTGCACCATTTTTCACACCTTTTTGTAGATGATGCATTATTTATGACGAATTTAAAATAGGTCATTTTTGTTCATTTTGGGGCCAAAAGCATGGACTATAGCCCATGGTTTACACCGATTTGGTCCATTTTTCACACCTTTTTGTAGATGATGCATTATTTATGAAGAATGTAAAATAGGTCATTTTTGTTCATTTTGGGGCAAAAAGCATGGACTATAGCCCATGGTTTTTACCGTTTTAAGCTATTTTTCACACCTTTTTGTAGATRATGCATTATTTATGAGGAATGCAAATTAGGTCATTTTTGTTCAATTTGAAGCAAAAAGCATGGACTATAGCACATGTTTTCCACCTATTTTGGCCATTTTTTACACCTTTTATTAGATGATGCATTATTTATGAGGAATGCGAAATACGTCACTTTTGTTCATTTTGGGGCCAAAAGCATGGACTATAGACGATGTTTTACAACGATTTGGGCTATTTTCCACACCTTTTTGTAGATAATGCATTATTTATGAAGAATGCCAAATAGGTCATTTTTGTTCATTTTGGGGTCAAAAGCATAGACTATAGCCCATGGTTTTCACCGATTTGTGCCATTTTTTACACCTTTTGTTAGATGATGCATTATTTATGAAAGATGCAAAGGATTTATCTATTTTTCATTTATTTATTTTCGTACTTTGAGTTTAAAGAAGCTTAAGATACACAAGGAAAGGATGTTGGTATTTAAATTATCTATTTAAATGAGTTTTATTTATTTTTTAGTCTCTACAATGAGTATGAAGCAGAGCTATTCACGTGTTGTCTTGTAATGTCTTTCATTGTTGCACATCCTTAAAAACAAAAATGAAATCATTCATGAGTACAAAATATGTTTCAATGTACAATTCCATGTCCAAAAGCTTTTGCGATATCTGAATCTAAAACGAACTTCATATGGAGTGTATTGGCATTATCAGTGAATGACAGGTTAAAAGTGATGCGTTCCTTAGCATGTCACTATAGAGGCTAGAGGCTTTGCACCATCACGTGATAGCAGCCATGACAGTATAACAATAGAGTCGTTCTTTGGGAAACTGAATTCTTTCACATGTAAATTACATTAGACCAGATTCTATTGTTCCTGCTTCCTGTCATGGCTGCCATCACGTGATGGTGCAACGCCTCTATAGTGAATTTTTATATTTCAAGAGCAAATTAAAAAAAAGTATATATGCAAATTAGGGATAAACTGCTAATGTCAAGGTAAGAGTCACAAAGACCTAGGGACCTTCCAACATGGCTGCCGTGAAAACCATCAATAGCTTAACAGGAGTAGCATTTGACGTGCCCAAATGCATGCATATATTTTATAGTTATTAACACCTATTGTCTATTAGACAACATTCTTACGTACCGGATAATATCATTGTTGTTCTCATTTCTTCTCGAAGAAACTCGAGCACTTTCTTCACTCCATCTTCCCCCTSAAACAATAGAAACATTGAACGTTAAAGAAGACTCTTGGTCAGAGAGAGTTCAGAGAGTCAACCGAGAAACTACAGTTCTCTCTTTTTTCTGATATCATTTAAATTTGCCAGCGAATGTTTCCTACATTCGACTCCGTCTCCGCCTCGGCGTTTCTTATGATGTTTTTACCTGGTAAGCTAGGCCCCAGATCACTGCTCGTCCAAGAAAAACAGCGCGGGCCCCGAGAGCCAAGGCTTTGAAAACATCTGTTCCCAGTCTCACTCCACCATCTAGGTAAACTTCTAGTTTCCCTTCCACGGCATCTACAATCTCAGGTAAAGCTTCAATCTGTGAAAAGAAAGTAAGAAAAAAATAAATGAATGAATGAAATGAAATGAATGAACAAATGAATGAAAGAATAATTTATCAGTATGATGATTCGCTTATTGATTGGTGGGTTGGTGGGTTGGTGGGTTGGTGGGTTGGTGGGTTGGTGGGTT